TAGCCTTCACAGCCTCCTGCAGCAAGGAGTTCCACAGCAGGTTTATTATTTGTTTTGTGAAGAACTTTCTGTTATTAGTTTGAAGCCTGCTAACCATTCATTTCATTTGGTGTCCTCTTGTCCTTCTATTATGGGAACTAATGAAGAACTTTTCTTTATGCACCCTCTCCACACCACTCATGCTTTTATAGACCTCTATCATATCCCCCCTCAGTCTCCTCTTTTCTAAGCTGAGAAGTCCCAGTCTCTTTAGCCTCTCTTCATATGGGACCTGTTCCAAACCCCTGATCATTTTAGTTGCCCTCCCCTCTCCCACCTTCTCTCTTCCCCTCTCCCACCTCCTTTTCCCAGTCTCCCTGAGTTTTGTTCAATAAAGAGAGTTTCTATTTTTGACCACACGTGTCCTTTATTTTGTACATCAGGAAGGGGGGCTAGTGAGGGGTAAGTGGAAGGAGGTGAGGGAGGAATGGGGTACGAGCGCCTGATGGGGAGGACTGGGTGGCTCTGTGGGCTCCTCGGGGTGGAAGCTCTCCTGCAGCCCCCCAATTGACCCTCCCCCCTTCGGATGGCAGCCTGCGGCAAGTGCAGCAGGGCTGATGGCCTAGTGCTATGATGTGCCGAGTATGGGCATTCAGGGCACTCCAAGCCAGGACTGCTTTGCTGTCCCTCATCGAGGTAGACAAGCAAGCAGGGAACCCTGAGAACTGTCCGGGGTGGGAGTCGGGTCCCTTTAACCACAGCCCTCGACTAGCCTGAGACAGCAGCTCCACGCTCTAAGTCTTAATCTGATGCCCTGCCGGCACTGCTTCCGGCCAGCCTTAACCTTCGTTCAGAGTTCACTCAATGTGGACATGCTAGTTCAAATTAGCAAAATGCTAATTCGAACTAGTTTTTAGGTCTAGATGCACTAGTTCAAATTAGCTTAGTTCGAATTAACTAATTCAAATTAAGTTATTTCGAATTAGTGCTATAGTGTAGACATACCCTGGATCATTATAACAAAACACGTGATAATCCACATGTAAACTATGTTGTTTTAAAAGCTAGAGCATGGAAAAGTTCTACACTCTACTGATTAAAATCATAAATCACCATTATACCTTCCCCAGGAACAACCCAATAGTAGACAATCCATCACCTAAATACACAGGGGCAGTTCTTCAACTGATTTAACACAGTCTAGCTGCAGTAAAGTGACTGGAGTTATTGCATTGACAGGCACAGAAGAACTGGGCCACAGATCCTCTGTTGAGCTCCTTTGCATCCATGTAAATGGAGTTACAGTTGGATCTGATCCGATTTTGTTCTATGTCCCTCAAATAGCACTAGTCAAGGCCCTGGAATAAAAACATATTTATAACAAAAATATTAGGTGGAGCTGAGGGAGAGGAGATACGGGAAATTGACTTTATTTGGATGATATGTTGGGAAGTTAATTTAAGTTCCTTTTCTTCCCTACTTGCTTTATTTATATATTCCATGTTTATGCAGAACTGAATTTTAATGTTGCAGCTTGATGTTGGCAAAATGATGACATCCATTGATAGACGCTTTTATAAAAGCCTTTTAGTGATTTACTCATCAATGGTATAATTTACAGTGTGAAATCAGTACTTTCCTCCCCTCAGTTCCCTTTTCATGTAGCAAAAGCATTAATTTTAGTTTTGAGCAGAAAGTCTGCAGAGTTGTAGTACTGACGTTTCAGGGGGATAATGTAATGTGACACAGCATTAGTGTTTAACTCCAGCTTTCATGGTTTCCAGCCACATTGGTATCTCAATGGATTGCATATAACACAATTTCTGCTTGAAAAGAAGTGCTCAAGACGCTGAATAGAAAACCAATAATTTCAATAATTAGTGGAAGATAAGCATAGGCACGAGTCTCATTCACAGAACATGGTTCATGCTACATTATCTAAGCACCTACTGGACTTCAAATGCTTTTGGCAAATGCTCTGGTTTGGGTCTCACTGTCAGAAAGGTATCAAATAGAAATTACCAGCTGAAATGACTTTTTTTTTTTTTTAACTCTGTCAAAGATTTTGACATAAGCTTTTTGTAAAATTGGCAGAAAACTTTCAGTTACTGTTCTGGAGACATAGAAATCCATTTATGTATTATCCAGCATGGCTGAAAATCCTTTGCAGGACTGGTAGGAAGATACGGGGAAGCTCCCTGGAATGTTTTTTGAAATAACAGAGGTGATTTTCGAGATTTAGAGTATGACAAAGGCTTCATCTACATGTGGGAATTTTAGGCAGACATTGTCAAAAGTGTCTATAGATGTGGCATACCTTAATTTTTGGGAGCCCAACTTGACACATCAGAAAGGGCTCTGGTTTGCCAGGGGGAGTCACTCTCAGCCCTGTATCAAAAATCAACCCCTTCCTAGTGTTTCCAGTTGTGTGCCCAAAAATGAGGCAAATAAAATCATGGGTCCCTTGGAAATTCCCACTAGTTGAGTTGCACGTGTTCTAGTGTAGACAACGTTCTTGGCATTTTCTGATGTCTCACTGTGGTAGATGAACTGAAGGGTAATGCTTGCCTCTGATTTCAGTAGCACAGTGATAGACCACAGTGGAGTGATTGGAGAATCTCTCCTTCACAGTTTATTGCCCTTGGAAGATAGGGAGGGTGGGGATCATAGCTCAAACTACCCGAGGACAAGTTGGAACTGAAAAGCAAAGTCAGACTAGTGGCCTGTTTTGATTTTGGTTCTTATCTTTTGAGAGACACTAGGATATGACAGCAATGGGAACCGTTAAAACCTGGGTAGATATAGGGCAAAGTTATATTTAACATGAAATACAATATTTTTCATGGACATACCCTGCATCAGTGTGTTTTTCTCCATCACCTCTGCCTCTGTAACTAAAAAAACCTGCCTTCATGATACCATGTGTGTTTGTTTTGCCATTCTCATCTCCAAGTCTAACACATCTGAAGACTTTACAAATCAAATCAGTACTAACAGATACTAACATTGGCAACTCTTCCTCTATTGCTTTTGTACTGGCTGTGGAATGAAAGGTAACTAAGCTCCCTTTCTCTTTCTCTCTGACCATTAAGATGTGTGTGCACATTTAGTGGTTATGAAATTATAACTGCAATTTATCGTGATAACCAGAATATGTGGTTATCACTAGTTATTTCATATCTGTTTCAACAGGGAATGAGTTTTACCTACATTCATGTAGCATGTCCTAAATACTTTGTCACGAGAAACTTTATGGCAGACTATTTCATTTCCATTTTTTTGTTGTTGTCGGAACTTTTTAAGACAAAGCGTTTATTAGCATTGATGATGCAAGCACTTCAGATGGGTTCTGAGTGAACTAATAATGGGTGGATGACCCAGCTTTATCCTTTGTGCTAAAGAAGTTAACTTCCAAGATTTAAAAGAATTACAAATATTTTTCTCAAAAAAATTATAGGAAACAAATGTCTTGGGATTTAAAGGACCTCGCAAAATGAGTGTGGTCATACCAGGAATGAATATGGACCATGAAAGAGTTTCTATCCGACCACGTAATGTAAGTCACAATGTCTCTCAATAATTAAAATTATTTAAAGATGCCCTCTTTCACCCAGTTTCGTTATGTTTCTGCTTCTGAAAGGTTGAATATTAGAGATTAATTCTGTGTTTTTACAACCCCCAGCACTGGTCTATGAGTGGGGCTCCTAGACACTACCATGTTACAAATAATGAATAATACATATCAGAGGGCAGCTATGGGCTAGAATTTTCAAAGATGCTCATGGGATTTGGATGCTGAATTCCAATTAAAATACTTTACATTTCTTTGTTTTGTTTTTATTTGGACTGTGATATGGGAAGTTAAGGGAGACAATTAGGAAGGTACAGGTGAAGTTGTTAACCCCCTTTGCCCTCAGAGAGTGCTAACCTGAAGTTTGTATGTGTGATGTATGCAGGAGCATGAAACACTTCTTGCAAGATGGCAGAACAAAAATATAGAGAGCGTCATTGAGCTGCACAACAAAACTCCAGTCTGGAATGATGACACCCAGTCCTATGTGCTAAATTTCCATGGTCGAGTCACACAAGCCTCGGTGAAAAACTTCCAAATTATTCACGACAATGACCGTAAGTGTAGCCCACCTGGCTAAACGGATCAAACACAACGCTTGTTTGGTGTATACTTTGACACTGATTCCGTGCTGACAAGTCAGATCAAGTTTTACACCTTCTGGTACAGATTTTGTGCTGTGCTCACTGAAGTACAGGGAAGGGGTAAAAGTTGCTTTGTGCCACCTTTCTCCCCCTGGATTCCGGGCTGCTGCAGAGGCCAGGTAGGTCCCCAGTGAAATTAAAACAGGCTGTGTTGATTTAGAGCAGCCTCCTTGGGGCTACCTGTGGACTAGGCAGCAGCCCAGGATTTCCTGTAGCATTCAGCATGGTGCCATTCCCTGGACTGCCCCAGTATGCTCCTTTCCACAAGAGTACTGCATTAATCCTTTGCTGGAGAACTCCCATTCCCACCATTTGTGGCTCGTTCCAGGCCCTGCTGTGTTCTCAGTGTGGCATATAGGAGCACTTGGGGGAGGCAGCAGAATGAGCTGCATTATGCACTCACTTTCCAAAGGTGTAGATGACCCAAGGAAGGTACAGATGTATCAGACCAGTGTCTTGTCTAGGAGAGTGAGGGTGTTGAAGGCTTGGTAACCACAACATTGTGAAGTTCATGCATGGGAACTGGCAGTGTCAGCCTCCGAGAGCTGTATGGTGTTTGAAACCTTTGATCAAGTATTGGGAAAGGCTCCCAGAGCACACCAGTGACAGCCCCTCACCATGGTCATAGCACAGCATGTCACTTTAGGCCATGAGTGAGGCTGAGTTTCACACTGCACAGTTACCCTGGCGGAGTTTCTGTGTCAAGTGTGTGCATTCAGAGTAGCAAAAAGCTACCCCCCTACTTGCTCCCTCTCACACTTTTTGTCCCAATCCTCTTTTCCTGTCGGCCTGCCTGAACTTGTTTCGGTTGATGTTAATGAGAACAGAATTACATCCTGTCTTGTATGAATGAAAATCTCCCCTGTGCAGGTTATCAGCACACGATGTCTGCATGAGTCTTGTCCAGGTATTCTACACAGAGGTGAATGTCATGCTTATGAGTGCAAGAGACCAGAAGCCTGACTTTTTAAAAACCCATTAGTTACCTGAATAACATTTTAAAAGAAAACACACAGAAGGCCTTGTCCTCGTTCAAATTATCCTCATACAAATAGCCCCATTGAAGTCATGCCTGCTTGTATGAATACATGTTGCAGCATTCAGTCTATCCGTCATGAGGGGGAGGAAGGGAGGGAGGGAGAGCAGTGGGTTGGTATAGAGCACACGTATATTTAATAGGCGTTGTAGTCAAAAATAACACCTTGTCACTTTTATGATTTTCATTGCAGCTGACTATATAGTGATGCAGTTTGGCCGTGTGGCTGAGGATATATTCACCATGGACTACAACTACCCAATGTGTGCACTGCAAGCCTTTGCTATTGCCCTCTCCAGCTTTGACAGCAAATTGGCTTGTGAGTAAAAGGAAGTGGTAGAGTCTCCACACAACTGCTCAGTATGCCCCAAGGGAAAACAACATTGATATCATTTATGGTTCATGCAAAACAGGCCAGGGAAAAATCATTTTCTGAAGGACCATCATATTGCTGGGGAGAAAATAATGGGAATCTTTAAAACATTCAGGACATTCAGGAAATATTGTTTTATCTGTTATATATTTTTCTGCAAGTGGCATCAAGTTTCTGTAAATAAAAGTCCTATCTGATATTCTAAGCTATGTTATGGAGATGAGCCATGGCTCAAGAAACACCATTCCGAATGGTGTGTCTTTTCTAAATCCACAAAAGCGATCTAAAAAATAAAAGTCAGTTTTTCTGTTTAAGAAGTATTCAGAGGCTGTGATCATACCTCAAGATTGTGTGGAATACTTTGAACTTCACATTGCCCGACAGGAGAAAAGATCACCAAAAAAGATGCACTTTTTGAACAGACAAGGACCTCGTGTAATATAAAACCAAGCCTGAGGGCGGAAGGCCTATATTGGACTGAACTTGATTTGTTGCTATTATTTATGTGGAGGAGCAGGGTGAGTTTTAATTATAGTAGGAGAAAAAGGAGAAGTAGAAAGCACAAAATAATGTTGCACAAGTCACTTGAATTCTAAAGTGTCATTTTTTTATGTTTTAGCATCAATTTGCTTTTAAGTTCTGTTTCAAATGAAAACCTATTGGAATTCTAGAATGGGGGGCTGAAGGGGGACTGAATACCAGCAGTTCAGCATGTTGGGTCTTTGTAGATCACTCTAACAATTCAGATACTTATTTTGTATCAAATGATATAAAATATTTGGATGAAGAGTTCCTCACAAAGATGCATCATTATTTTAAGCCAGTTGTGTGAGTGGCTGAGATAGGTAGTAGAGATAATATATTACATTAATCTGGCCTCTTGTGATTAGATTTTGGATATTGAATTTTGTCAAATCTACAGTTACAAACAATTTTCATATTTATTTCTCATTGTAAAAGTCATTGATATCTATTCAAATCTATTTTACATTTTAATTAAAAGCACCAGCTACTGAGGTGAATTCTTCTAGGCAAATTCAGTGTACCTTACAGACAAATTCAGGACACACAAATAGCTTAAAATAGGATTTTTTCTTTTGTTTAAACTTTTCTGATAGACCTGGGAGATATAAACAACAATTATGAAAGGTCTAGAAAATATGAGCCATGAGGAAAGACTGGAAGAATTGGATTTGTTTAGTTTAGGAAAGAGAAGACTGAGAGGGGACATAATAGCAGTTTTCATGTATCTAAAAGGATGTCACTGGGAGGAGAGGGGGAGGAGGGAATTGGTCTCCTTGGCCTCTGATGATGGGATAAGAAGCAAAGAGGAGGGAATTGTTCTCCTTGGCCTCTGAAATTGCAGCAAGGGAGGTTTAGGTCAGACATTAGGAAAAACTTCCTGCCTCTCAGGGTGGTGAAACACTGGAATAAATTGCCCAGGGAAGTTGTGGAATCTCCATCGCTAGAGATATTTAAAAGCAGGTTAGACAGACACCTGTCAGGGATGGTCTAGACGGTGCATGGTCCTGCCGTGAGGGCAGGGGACTGGACTTCATGACCTCTCAAGGTCCCTTCCAGTTCTAGTATTGTATGATTCTATGATTTCAAAATACAAGCTCTCCACTATATATCTCAAAAGTCATCAAGGAATGACTTTAACTGTGAGCAATGCATAAAATACCATACAATAATATTACTCCAAACACATAACAGTTTATCAGAAGAGCAGTGAATATGGGAGTAATGTTTTATACTGTGCATATTAAAATTCCCCTTTTTATTTTTAATAGGCTATCTGCATTATATAACCAAAGATTATATGAGAAAATGAAATCAGATCTGCTTTCAGTCCCTGTGTGGTTGTAGGGGATAGGACAGGTTGTGCCATTTGGACTTTATGGTTTCAACTAATAAGAGAAATATGGTCTATTCCATGCTTCTGCTTCCAGATACTAAGACATTTCAGTGGACAAATGTGCTTGCAATTGGATTGTTGTTGGATTTACAGTGCTATATGAAAGACTGTCTTAGGAGGAATAAGCCCATTTCAAATCCCATTGAAGTCAATGGAGAGAGGTCTTGTGGCTTTGATGGGGGAAGAGGTGTTCATGCCAGTCCATTCTATCTGACAAGTTCTAAACTATGCCAGAGATTGCCCGTCATCTTTTGTCTTTTCGCAAAAGAAATATTTTCTTTGTAGTACAAAACCAGAACAATCTCCTGATTGGAGAGCAATGAGCAGTGAGTTCCTACAATGAACGATAAACAGGAATCAACTATGACTTGCCGTTTTCATTAATCAGCACTTTGCTGGTACCAGACCCCAGTAACTAGGTATGTTCTCCTCTCTGCCAACGGATGCGCTCTTGCACCACACTGCACTCAGCCTCCTCCAGTCTCAGATTTTGAATGTTAAGAAAGAAATGGCATTCATATTATTGCTGGACAGCTTCTAAGCTTACCCACTACTTCCAGCTCTAGCTAGAGTTTTGGTTCAGCCCATTGCAAAGATAGATACAATTTGCTGAATTTGATTTGGTTTGGATTTCCAAGATGAGAAAGTGGTTGGAGTCTGGGAGTTTGATTCTGGCCATCGCCAGTGACAATTATAGGCCCCTAAATAGCATGGAGCATTGTCATTTGCTTCTATCTGCAAAATTACCTTTACAGTAATCATTAGGGGTATGTCTACACTACAATGTTAGTTCGAACTAATGGACGTTAGTTCGAACTAACATTCATAGGCGCTACACTAGCGCTCCGCTAGTTCGAATTTAAATCGAACTAGCGGAGCGCTTAGTTCGAACTAGGAAAACCTCATTTTACGAGGACTAAGCCTACTTCAAACTTACTAGTTCGAATTAAGGGGTGTGTTGCCCCTTAATTC